TGTCCACCAATCACAGCAAGCCCCAGCCATCTGGCCCCGCTTAGCCCTGCCATGCAGAGAGAATCTTTCCCTGAGGCGTGACCGGCTCCGGCAAAGAGGCAGCACTTCTGGAAAGAGGGATCGGTGAGCCAAACAGTCAAGTGACAGCAAAATCCGCGCGCTGGCAGAGGCCTCCGGAGGCATCGAGTCGAAACCCCAGCCCAAAGCAGGACCGACCCCGACTCCATCAACCAAGCCAGGGCTGTGTCAACCAGGGACTCGAACACCTCCAGGGATGGAGATTCCACCCTCTCCCTAGGGAACGCAGCCCAGCGCTTCCCCACCTGCCTAGGGAAATCGTTTGTCCTAATCTCCAACCTAGACCTCCCCCACTGCAACTTGAGACCGTTGCTCCTCGTTCTGCCATCTGCCCCCCCTCGAGAACAGCCTCTTTCCAGCCTCTTTGGAACCCCCTTCAGGGAGCTGCAGGCTGCTCTCAAACCCCCCCTCGCTCTTCTCTTCTGCAGACCGAACAAGCCCAACTCCCTCAGCCTCTCCTCGTAGGTCATGTGCTCCAGCCCCCTAAGTCGCTCTCCATGGGCACCCGGCGAGTCCCAGGGGCCCAGCTGCTGGCTAAGAAGCAGCAGTGGCTGCAGCCCCGGCCCCTTAAATCATGTGCTCCAGCCCCCTAAGTCGCTCTCCATGGGCACCCGGCGAGTCCCAGGGGCCCAGCTGCTGGCTAAGAAGCAGCAGTGGCTGCAGCCCCGGCCCCTTAAATCACCGTGGTGCTCCCGGCAGCGCGAGCGCCTCGGCCCTGCGCCCCATCCCTTCTGGGAGCGCAGCGCCGCCTGTGTTGCCAGAGGCCCGTGGAGGCTCCAAAGGCCTTGGGCAGGCGGGCCGCGGGGCGCTTCTAGCCCTTGCTTGTTATTCAGGGGGCTATCTGCGCAGCTGGGCCCCGCCCCCAAGCCAGCGACCTGGCTGCTGCCCACCTGCCCGTCCCTGCTGCCCGCTCTAGCTCCGGGAGAGGAGGGGGGGCCCACTGAGAAACCGGGGGGGCCCCAG